AATTCATAATTCATAATTCATAATTACTTTCGGACAACAATATCAAAAGATTAAAGTATTTTATAGTTGCTTTTTAGTGCATCACAGCTTGTACTGCGTTTGTTCAGAACCGTAGAAAAGTGCAACTTGCCGATTTTGCTTAATTTCTGAGTGAAATTCGAAGAAATATCGTTCGCTGTTCCGTCCCCCTGATTTTAATGTAAGTAATTGTATCAATAAGTTGAAGTTCAAAATTATGTACCCTTTTCAAGGCGGCCGAATTTCACATAATGTAATTATATTTTACCTTTGTAAAGAAAAGTATTTTTGATTTCCCTTTTTTGCTTCGAAAATAAATCATACAAGTGATTTGCAAAGTTCCTTATTAGAGTCTTTTATCTCTAACATATTTATTGCTCTCGGCCATTATCTGCTAATGAGCGTGATTCAATCAAGTTTTCAGTAAATCTTTACACATATTGTAGACAAGTATATTTAAAACGTAGGCTCTTTCATTGCTTTCAGACGTTTTCCTATCGAAATTTACTAAGTTTCAAATTTGCATAAAATTTTGATACAAGAACTTTACTCCACAATCATAAGTAATTTGACTTGATTTGTAATATAACGGTTTTCGATTCTTCGTTAGGCGCTATAATTGCCAGTCACCTTTTTATGGACTTTTCAGTTTTGAAAATGTCTTTAAAATACTCAATTGAAGTTGTTTGTTGGTTTTAAAGAAATTTCCATTAAAATTTGCATCTTCCATATTTGCGCCCAATATATCATTCAACAGATACTAAACGCTTATGTATGTTGATGGATTGGTCTTTACATTTATAATCTTTTTATAGTTATCATAATAAAAACAATATTTTCGAATATAATATGAAAAGCAGGAACAATTTCTTTCATCACTGTACAAATGTTTTGTATGCTCAGGAACGTTTTGAAAATCAAATATGTACACGAATACATCATATACATATTAATAACTATAAAATGTATTTTTAAGTATTAATTTTTTTTAATTATTATTTTTTTATATTGGTTTTTTACCTTCTTACATTTAAAAGATGGTTATATTGTTGGTATTACTCCTACAAAATCACAGCAATTTCGTAGGCATCAATTCCTACTACAACTTTTTTAAATGCGCGTTTATTAGCTTTTATCGGATTATTTACATTTACTTTTTTACATTCCACTTTTCTATGCATAAAATACAGAGACTTCCCATGTCAATACATCACAATAAAAAGGACTTCTTTATTCTTAACACTTTTCTGTTAAATGGAAATAATGTTGGAATTTTTTTATCTTGTTGGTTAATTTAAGGTTCTGCTGAGTCAAACAATGGAGACTCCGTTTATAATAGACGCGACCATTCAATCACAATATTCCACGCACACGAAATGAACCGTTGTTAACGAGAGTGAAGAGCGCATTGATATAACGAGCAATAACAATGTAATGTCAATGACGGTTGAAGGGCTGCCAACATATAAAATATCGTTGATATTAACCATAACACTCTCCAAAAAACGCGAATTAAAATAATCGCGAATATGAATTGTTCGCTATTTTTCGGGCAAATTAAACTAAACAGATGTAAAGACCTTCAATCCTTCGCTTTCACCATTGAATATTCCTCAGGCTTAATTTCAAGTCAAAATTTCATTAAAAACTGAATTATTTCCTTTGACGAAATAAATACCGTGAGCTCATTGAATTAGCCTTTGTTAAATAAATAGCTTAAATGTTTTCTTTTAATTCTTCTCTAGGAATATACAAGACCATACAAAAACTTATACAGCTAATTATGCAGTGGCGGCCTTGTAATTTCGATTGTAATCAAAAAACCTTTGTACTGTAAAAATCTGTACAGAAAAATACTTTTCTATATATGCAATTTACATTTACGAAGTGATAGAGTTTACTAATATCCTTACATCAAAAACAATTTTTTTTTTTTAATTTTCTAAATCCTAAAAACAAAACTACAACCAACTGATTTGTGGTATATTACCCAGGTGAAAATTGAAAATCAACTTGACGCACTAAACACAAAACAAGCGGGTACTCAGAAAAGAAATATGTGTTTCTTCAATGAAGTCAAACATAAATTCGGCACGTAAAGTGCTTTCTTCGGCTAGAAGTCAGCATTTTTATTTCATCGAATTACGTTTGCACGTATTAATACTCAAATCTCGCAGTTCGTCTGTGTAAAGAGTTGAACGTAAAAGTATATAATAACAACCTCTCCTGTAATCTTACATATAAAACATTCTATTCTTTTAACAATGCAACCCTGCTAACCTGCTATCTTGTTCGTTTTTCTCTTATATAAGCTCGCATGCACTTGCGTATGTATATAATCAAACTCACCTACGCTTTCCTTCGTTTGTCTCTTCACCGTAGGTTTCACACTTGATTTTCCGCAAATTTTCTTTTGTGTTCTTATCCTTTTCTTCTTAAGTACGCTTTTTACATTTTCTTTCTCATATAATTTAGATTTTTTCTTTTTGCATCACTAGATTTTCTACGTATTCTTGCAGAGTTAAATGCTCCTATTTTTTAATATATAGATTTATAAAATAAATGTTTAACCACTTCTACTAATTTTTACTCTAATTTAACACTTTTTAAGTGCGTAAATTATAATTGAAACACAAATTCCTCAGCCTTATATATTTTGCGTTTCTATGTTCTCTTTCACATCCTTCCATTAAAGAAGCAACAAATGAACTGTCGCCAAAAAACAATGTTGCCGGATGTACAAATTATGCTTACCACACGTTGTATTAAAGAACATAAATGAAAGATAGTGGGTATTTCTGTAGCAAAAAAAAAAAATAAGGCAGATTTTCCTATTTAAAAAAAGATGGAATAAACGAAGCGGGGTATTGAATTCATTTTTTAAATTGTATCAAAAATGGAAGGAAGAATAATTTTAAAAAGGAAAAGTGCGATTACGGTTTATACTAAATGCGAGTTTAAAGTTATAGGCAGTTTAGGAAGTGCTTTCAAGAAAGTGAAACGACGTTACTTAGCATTACTACAATTAGTAGTTGTCATTAATTAATAGAATAAAGGATAAGTCACAAATTAATAGAAGAGCTTACCTATTTATGCATAAAGGAAGAATTCGAAAAAGGGTTAAAGTTGAAATTTAATTGCTTTCTTCTTAGTTAAACGATTGAAAAGGATTTGTAGAAATTCATTTAACAATCACACTTTTTGTACATTAATACCAGTTTTAAGAAAATGAAGATAAATTCTTCCACATGACTATCTTAGTTTAGGTTAATATAATATCTGAAGATTATAGAATAAAGTTTCATCGCACTTGTACTGAAAAAGAGTTAAATCACATTTATTAGAATTATGTATAAATTTAAAAATTTTTTGTAAAACATTCGCTTGTTTTCAAATTATATTTTTTTATAATAAGTCTTGATTGTAAACATAGAAAGTATTATTTAGTCTCTGTGCTGCTAGTGCTCAATGTCTTTTTTTTAATCTAAGAATTCAATTCATTAGTCTAAAATTAAAATAATAATAGAGCCGATAGCCTGTGTTGCTAGTGCTCGATGTCTCTTTTTTTAGTCTAAGAATTCAATTCATTAGTCTAAAATTAAAATAATAATAATAATAATAAAATAATAATAATAATAATATTATTTAGTCTATTGCAATAATGACTGACGTTTCCTTACCTTAAGAATAAGTTAATTGATGAGCAGGCACTTTGCCTTATTGCTTTTTTATTCCTCGCTATAAAGTTACTAGTCACAGCATTCTAAATTTAATAAATTTCCCAATCGAGATGGGTTAGGTCTGCTCCATTGTAGTCATCAACTGGGTTTATATCATTTTGTACGCCGTTAATTAAAATGTAACAATTTTTTGCTGCATAGTTCTTTAAGTCATTAGAAATGAAACAGTCAATAAATTAATGCGAGGGATTTTTCATAAAGGATGTCTTTATTAAATTTCACATTTGATAAATCGATTTGTTCGATTGCTATACTGCTACAGTTTTTCAGAGCTACGTATTGAAAATGGCTGGCTAGCGTTTATTTTAATGATATGATCGATTTCAAGACAGAAAAAAGCTACGGGACGGAAATCAGCTTTTGAAGGAAACAGTCGTGACGATGGAAATCGTCATATTTCCATGAATAATGTGAGGAGGCACTCTTAGAAACAGATCCTAATCCTTGTAAGACAGTTTAAACTGGTTGCAGAAATAACCACTGAGATGATACCGCCTAAGAATACCAACAAAAAATAGACTAATAATAACACTAATGCAATAAAGCTTTTTAATCGTTTTTTTACCTAATTCACTGTCAGAGAATCTCAATAAAAATGTGCCCACAGGTGATTAACGCAAAATCTCTTCGGTTTTAGGCTTACTGATAGAGCCCATTATTAAACCAGCCTTCCAAATGCTTTGACAATGTTCCTTAGTTAATTTCGTAACAGCTAGAAATCATTCCCAGAATGTGAACGAATTAAGCTCGCGTACTTTTCCTTTACAAAATTGTACTCATGTGCTCTCCTCCCGCGTTTTTTAATGGGAAAAGCTTTTCACCTGAGAAGCAAGATAAATTAAAACAAAAATGTACGCTATTTGCGGACAAAGCAAAGACTTACAAAAAAAAGTTCAAATTATCATCAGTTAAAGGCCGACCAGTAATCGGTTCAAATGTAGTATTTAAAGCTAATACCATCTGGGACCAAATGGCATGTCCACGCACATGAAAAGCTTCGCGGACGATATTGGAAAACCCATTATCCCAAGTAACAGTGACCAAGGCCTGTGGTTCTTGCTTTGGAGACACTATTACGACCACCGGCAATGATAGAGTCCAAACCTGGGAACAACATTTTCAAAACGTTACCTTTTATTACATCCAAACGTTCCTAATTACCTTTATTCTATAACCAGTAACTGCCGCTGAAGTATAAAAGATTAAGGCGAATTTTTCGTTGGTACCGCTTTCAACGGCTTTTCCCTTCGGTCTTTTAATATCCCATAATTGTAAAGCTCTACGATGCATATATTTTAAGTCAATAATTGGAAATCATTTAATTTTGCTTACCTAAAAGTGCAGGAGAATATGGGTGTCTGATTATCGTAATCCATGATAATAGCATTATTTTCCAGATTAGCAGTAGGCAGGGTATCGGCTGTCACTTCAGACATGTTAAGTTGCGCAGAATACCGTTGGGCCTGACACTCTGTAAAACGATCGCAAAAGAAAATTTCTAATTTCTATGACAGCGCCGTTTCATCTCGTCTTAGCTATTTAACTTAGTCCTTGACTTTCCCATTCAATTTGGACATTTCTTAAAAGGGTTATGTGCTAATTAGCCAAACTATGGGGGAAGCTACTACCTTTCTATGCAGATCGGAGAGAGTTTCAGCAAATCGTTGAGAGTAGTGACTTATCCTTTCTAGCTTTCTAGGTGTCCTCTACTTAATACGTAATTACGTTCCAACCAGGTTTTTTATCTCCTCGTCAGCTTGTCTATTTTTTATCTCTATTTCTTACTATCCTCACTTCGTCCTACTACCTACTATAAATACCCTATCAAGTCTACACACTTCTTCTCCCAGCCTGCTAAGCAGCTTACGAACCAACCTTTTTTTGGGATAAATTCTATCAGCTCACCTGTCAGCCCGCTAAGTTCATTTAATACACCAGAAATTATAATTCACTCCACAGAAGGTGTATTAGTTGTAATACCCAGTTGAGGTCCAATCAGCCAATGCAAGAAAGTCGTGAACCTGTTAAATGTTTAATAATGGAAGTCCTTAAAACACGCTTTAAGGAAACTTTGTTAATACTCAAATTTAAAATTGATATCTCATCATGAATAGCGTATAACGTATCATCGCAATACGAAGCGGCATGACTTAATGATCGGGAGGTGGACAGGCTAGGCAAAATGGCGGTGGAAGCATTACTGCTACTGATACTAGCTTTATTTTTGGATGAGAAATAAAGTTTCAATGCGGTTGATTAGTTTTTTGAACAATTGTGTTCTCTTCCGCTTATTCGTCTTATGTATTTAGTAAACTCTATAATAAATAACATAGAAGAATGGATCTTGAAAGCTTTTTCACCCAATATCAAAAACGTATGTTAGGCTCTTTGCTGCAAATATTATACTATTCATGGAGTACTATGTTATGCTGATGTACCAAGTATGGGTCACTTTCAGTTGCGATCTTGGGATATAGGAATCAGAGAATGTAATTACAATTCGTATTATTAACACGACGCTAACAGATATTAGTTATCAATGTATGCTATAAGTATAGTGGATCACTTTTTTCAATTTTTTTTTTTTTTTTCACTATAGTCAAGTCATTTGCAAATCAGATCATATAAAACAGAACGTTTAGGGAGAAAATTTGTTACTTAAGGCGAAAAGGTGCCCGGAAGGCTTTGAACACTTGTTATAGCAATAATATTATTTTCGTCTAATCCTTCCGTAGAATCAAAACGAGTCTTGGTCTTTTTCACTATTCAGCCTTCCCCTGCAAACTTCTTATCAAACGATAATAAAAAGGTTTCGACGGCTCATTATATTCACTGTGTATTTCGCTGTAATCGATGAGTAATAATATACGAACAATTTTCGCAATTAAAACAAATGCAAAAGAGTTAAGAACAAAGTTGTATTCAACACACACAGAGGTGTGAACAGCGCTGTACCCTAATATCAACTGCCTTTACTAATATGCGATAATAATGAATTATGTTATGATCCCAACCTGAGATAATGGATATTTCATATTAGGCCGTTTTATAAGCACTATGAATACATATTTCCATTCTCCAAATAAAGCGAAGTTAAATGTTTGTTCGATCTCCGAATTTATCTAAACCGAATTTATGAGCGATCAGACGCACTTGCCGATGAAAAGCTTTCTAGCTGGGAAGTAACAGTGGGCGTTTCAATTCAATTATCTCAAAGATACCCCAAGATTACACTAAAGAGATACACGTGCTAAAATCCTTATCCAAATGGGCTGATCTTAAGTGCTGAGCCGCTCTATATCCTGCCCTATCTATGCCCTATTTGCTTCGGCCTATGATTTTTTATGAGTGACCACAAAGTTGTTCAGCATTACAAATATATCCAATTTTTCCTTTTATTAAATATATGAAATAAAAAAAGTATAGCGAAAAGTGTTAAATGATATTAATAAAGCTGTGGATATATCTCCCTAAAGCAAGAATAAGAAATATATATATATATATGCGAGAGTAGTAGGAAACAACGTAACATAAAAAAAATTAAGATGTAAATATTAAAAGACAGAAAAAAAATTTAGACTGACGGCTGTATGTAAATTATACGAAGAATCAACTGCGGCTGGTGACGACGTCGATAGTGATAATGAAATTAACATTACAGTCGCGGTAATTAATTAATTAAATAATTATAGTGAGCAGAATAGGATGATTCATAAAGCTTAATGAATCCATTATAGTTCTGACAGAATATTAATTTGTATATACTTGTGTGCATACATTCATAGACATAGGCATATGTGAATGCAATTTCTTCATAGTGCACATGTTTTAGTTGAGTTTATAACAGTAATTATCAAATCAGTATATATATATATATATATATATATATTCTCATGTATATATTTTACTATGTTTTTTGTATTTTATAGAACCAATGCGTTGGTGACCGCTACATAGGACTCTAACAGGCAATCCAATGTTATTTTTATGTTTGTATGTTTGCATGTTGCTGTTGCTCTTCTTTCTTTCCCTTTCTTTTTCCCCTTCATTATTTAAGCAATTGCCCTTAAGAGCATTTAATGATTTTTCATTTTTATTTCTTCTTCTGTAATGAGCAATAGATTTGGAAATTTTTGTCTGCGTACTACGGAAAGTTACTGTTAAGCAACTCCACGGGAAGTTCACCAACAAAGTCATTTGCAATAAATATTTTTAATTCTTTATTCTTTAGTGATTTTTCCATTAAGTTCAAAAACAAATTCTAATTCTCACTGTAATCTTCTCACTTATTAGCGCTTCTTTAAATTCATCCTTTTTTCTCAATTTTTTTGTTTTACATGGCATTGATCTTCTTTGTTTACGTTCGATTTTTGGTAGAAATTTGTTCCCGACTGCTTTAATATCATTTTTTTTATTTTTTTTAATTTCAATTTCTTTTGCTCAAAAATATTATTTATTTTTTCCTACTTTTTCTCTACTTTGCGTCAATTTCAAAATATCCTAGTTCTACCTTTAATCTACCAGCCAATCCTTTTTTTACTCGATAGATATGCTCCCAAAAAATTCGTGTGAAAAGAATTTTCATATGACGTTCAAGATAGGTGGTCGTCGTAGAAAGGGGAAATTTAAATTACTTTCATAAGATAACGTAACCGATATGTTATTTAGAACAGAGTGGGTGCGATTTGCAAAATTCATTCGAACGCTAACTAACATTAATGATTTCTTGATAGGCTAATAAACAGAACGAGAGAAACAAAGAGCATAAGAATTATTTACAATATCTACGATTCAAGACATGCTAAGTTTACCCTCATTCTATACGCAGCACCTACTGCATCTGCATAGTTGCATAGCGCAGGATGTAAACCCGAATTTATTTGTTGCGAAAATGTGTCATAATTCAGTGAGGCAGACATCTGAAATTTTTGTGTTCATTTCCCAATTCACGGCCGCGAGTCAATTTGGAAGAAGGCGTTACATCCTGGGTATTGCAGATAATTTCAAGTAAAACAAATTTCAAATCTTGAAAATTTCAAAATATAGTTAACAGTAATTTATACCCGCAATCTTTCAGCTAATGTGTAGAGTTTGGATGAAAAATTGTTCAAAAGTTTGTTTCAAAAATTTACTCCGACAATTAACAAGAATACTTATCGATTCGATATCGGATATATATGTGATATATATTTTTTGTAATGATGGGTAGTCTATGTTCGCGTCACATCGAATGACGATTTGTAACTTGTTGGTGATAACAAGTGTACGACGGTATTACAGCTTAACAGGTTGTATACGTCATCAAGTAGAAGTGAAAGTTTTATTAGTTTATATTTGCAAACCCGAGACGTGCGTACATAGTGGATGATAAAACAATGCTAAATAACGAATTAATTAAATTTGTTTATTTATCCCTTCGTTAATAATGCATTTTCCGATGTTATGTAATAAAATTGCAATGAATGGGTTTTTTTACCGGTTCAATGGGGAGTTGTATGGAAAAACCTTTTAATTCAATTACGTTCAAATAAATCATAAGAAAGTGATAGGTGTAAAAACCTCCATGGGTTAATTTGTCTTGCTTGGGATTCGTTGATGTCTTTGCGTAGCACATACACATACACTGTCATGGGCGTACCAATGTACGGATTTTTTAACTCTATGAAAACACAAAACCGATTGGGAGCAAAAACATGGAAAAATTAATGGACTAAAGATTCTACATAAACTACCGTTAGCCCTCCTCCCGCCGACAATCGAAAACCAAAATAAAGGAGGAAAGGTAAAGGGAAGCAGAGTTTATTTCTTAAGAGTTCTTTCTCCATTGACCTGCCAAAACTTTTACAGATCGAAGCAGTTCGAGAGAGTAACAGCTCAAATGTTTATCAATACAAATCCTCCCACAATCAAATCAAGCATAGCAGAAACTAAGCTGTAAGCTATAATTAAAGGATTCATCACTTCTTACTGAGTAAATGAAGTGTCGGTTAGAACAGCGCATCATGTTTTTCTTTCGCAAGCAAGGTTTTCCATTCGGAAACTAAGGGGAGGAGGCTTTTTCTCTCCTGTAATAATCTTACTACAAAGCAAAGAAGTATGAAAAAGAGAAGAGAGTCAGTTGCGTAGCTATTTTCTTCTCGAATATCGAAAAATGTTTATCATGATAGGTCTTATCGGAGACATTCCGCGGAAAGGGCTTAGACGAAGACTTCCCCAAAAAAATTGTTGCATTTTTATGATTTTTCGATAGAAATCACAAAACTTGTGTCTTTAAGATGTGAAATATAGTAAATTAAGATTGCCGAGCACAAAGACAACGTGCGGCGATTTCAATTTTGCGAACAGCCTTACGTATAAGAGGAGCATGTTTTTCATACCCCGGTCAAACTAGAAAGTGGTCGGTCCATATATTTACAGTTCAGTAAGATTGATCTCAGAGAACCTTCAACACCTTATTTTAATCAATTATTGTTGTCCACTGATCCTCTGTAAACTTTGATTCCTTATTTATAGATATTTCTATGCCAGTCATCGACAACCAACTTAAGGTATAAGTTTCTGTTCAATGGTTTTGTGGGGAGTTGAATACTTTTTATGCGGCTTAAAAAGTGTTTTTTTTTTTTGTTCTAAAGTCGCTACTTCATAGAAAGTTGCGATCTTAAGGGATACGCCCAAAGAAGGTATTGCCTTCAGGTTTGATATCAGAATCGATATCATTTGTAACTAAACTTAAAAGCAATTCTTCTTTGTTTATTGGTTTACTGCCTTATTTTAGATTGTTGTTGCCATCTTGTCCATTGGTTATTAAACCGTTCTTGAATGTATTTTGTGAGTCCCATAATAACAAGAACAGTAACTGCTATCGGACAATTATTTTAAAAGTGAAAAAAACTCGATGCCAGTAAGACTTCGGACGACTTGTCAAGCAGCCCGCGAAATAATCGTTTCCATGAAGGTAACGCTTGTTGAAAGCAACACGTAAACGAAATATTCTATAAATAAAATAAATTATAATTTATAATTTTTCGATACAAGTACGTCCGCACTAATAATAGTTAATTGAAACTACGGCATACAGTAAATGTAAGTGAAGGCGTAGAGAGTTAAACCTTTGTTCCAAATCATCTCAGAAATAGCCGTAAATTAGTCTGTGATATATTTTCTGACATAAAAAATTTTCTAAGAATACTCTTATTTAAGGCAGCAGATCGGTATTTACGACATTTAAAGTGCGTTCATGCGCATTGCATACGCGACGCGACTTCTCACATTAGCTAGCAAACTAGTAACTACTATTTAAATAATTATAAACAATTGTAAATATTACAGAGGTTTGCTGTTAATTGTATGACGCTATCAATTACATATGATTGGAACGAATAAAAACATTGCTGGACGAAAGAAAATATGAACCAATTATCTTAACTTAAAACTAAAGAGCGCAGAATTAATCTAAATTTCTTTCATACAGAACAGTTTATAGATCACCATGTAGGAGCGATGGTCTGAGTAAGTCAACTTCCAATTTTTTATGCCGATTACCGAAGGATTAAGAATATATTCATTGTGTCAAAACGTTCGCAACGCCCAAAAGGAAGATTTAGAGATACCAGAAAACTTATATATATATATATATTCTTGATCAGCAATATATTCTGAATCGATTTAAGCATGTCCGTCTGGTTGTCTGCCGTCTATAATGTCCGTTTTAAGCAAAAATTAAGCTATTGGCTTCAAATTTGACAGAGACATTGGAAGCTCTTGCATTCAAGTTAGTATTGAACACGGGCCAAATCGGTCGAAGAACACGCCTCTAGTACCACGTAAACTGGGAGCGCTCTCTTTCTTATTCAAAGTATTACAAAATTACGTTTTTGATCATTAGCCAAAAGATATTGGTGTACAAATCTGCGAAAAACTTTGGAGATGCGCTACAACATCCACTGGTCTATAAAACCAACACTGAGAACACGTTTGCTTTCCGTGTCTTTTGATCGTTGATTGTACACTATAACTGACACACGATATAAATTTCCACCAAATTAATCCATAAGAATTTCAAAAATCAGTCACGCCCACCCGTTACTATGACATAAGCAAATATATAATTCTCCTTCTCTTTAATCCTTTATACGATAACGGTGATGTGTATGGAAAATTCGGTCGCAACCGAATATAATTTGCTTACTTGTTAAAGCTGAATTTGTTTATAAACTTTTTCTTTTCCGAATATTCCACTGGAAACGCCCATTTTGCAAACGTTTTTAATATAAACAAATGTAAGGATGCTCATTGACAAGGAAATTACATCACTTAAAGAACTGACTTCCACCATGCAGTCTCAAAGAATTCTGAGTCCATTGTGTTGAGTTTTTTTTAATAATTTTTTTAAGTAGTGGAAACTTCAAAAGATAATTAATTAAAACCAAATTTTGATCCGCCTGAGTGGCCGAGTAGGCAAGAGTCTCGAATAGCAACTCAATAGTCGTGGGTTCAAACCTCAAGTGCGGTAGAGTTTTTTAATAAAAGCCGATAGCCCTAGAGTGCTTTAAGACTTTAGTCTTAAAATTTATTCTCTTGCTAAATTTATAATAATAATAATAATAATAAAACCAAATTTTCACGTTACCTAAACCATCTTTCGAACAATGCGTTTTTATGAAAAATGTATGTAGTCTTCATTTCGTTACTCTTCCGTCTGGTGGGCGAACACAGACCAATGATTAATAATATGAAGAGAGTCCCGCTTTTCATATCCTATACGATTTGTGGTACAGGGTATATTAAGTATGTACGTAACACCCAGAAAGCCTTAAGATAGATCCATCTTTTATAATACCGATCAAATCAGAATCATTTTCTGATTCGACCTTGTCTGTCCGTGCATTTTGTTGTTCAAAACTATAGCTTGCAATTTTTAATATATTTTGAAGAAATTCTCTGCAGAGAATGAACAACTGTACTATGTAAAGCGGTGTAGGGAATCTAATAGTCGACCTTTACCGGGTACACTCTTACTTTGCTCTTTTTGTTTAAATTGCATATTCTTCAATCGATATTGACATGTCATCTTGTCGCCGCCTATAACTTAATGATGGGTCTGTATGTCCTTCCGTTAAGTTTGCGCTTATATAACGGTTATTGTGCTAAAAGAGCTCATCTTACGAGAGAAGAAAATCAGATAAGGAATACTAACGCACCAATGGTTACGATGCGTGACGAAGCCTCAGTGTTTCGACTGTATTTAGGAAAATACTTGTTGGAGTTGATTTTCATCTTAAAGTCCTCCGCAATGAAGAGACCTTGTTTTGATACTCTAAGTTACTTAGTAGTAATATTTTCACAAGTAACTAAACCTAAATTATTTGTGATATTGTTAAATTCTTGATTCGCATACTAAGCCGGCAGAGGTTTCAATTTCATTTTTGGAACAGAAGGGGGAAGAAGTGTAAGGCACTGGCATATGTTTTCAGCACGAGATAATTAGAAATACATTGAACTTTAACACTCATAGTTAACGTAAGCAATTTGAACGAAAAAAAAAAATTCGTTCTTTTATATCTTTTCAACTTTATACCATTTAATCGACTAAGTACGACGGTAGAAATACAATTACATTTTTTGTTATATAAACCACCTATACTTTAAATAGTACACTTATACTCCCATCCAGCGATAGCGATACGAATAAATTTCTTAAACGCGAAAACTAGTTTTTAAATATTTCCGTTATTAATAAACGTGCAATAGCACACAGATGTTCATATGCATATGTATATGTTTATATATATGCTTCAACAAACCGATATCGCTTCATATATATCAGATTAATTCACTTTACTATTTTTTATTAATTAATAAAAATATTTTGTTGTACTATTTTTTATTTACTTAAAGAGAAATTAATTAATAAATTTTTATTTAACCACAATCGTCTCGTATTTATCAAGAATTTTGTTTTATTTATGATAGTTTTATGTCATTAGGCGTGGTATAGCTGTTGTAGCTGTTGCTATTAGTCTTTTAATAAATCAAATGAAATGAAATTTTAATAAACACTCATTAATTAATGAAAACGATTAGTAATAATGCGGTGTAGGAAAGGACAAGTTATCAATAACGTAACGCAACGCTACGAAGAGAATAGATTAGACTTTAAGAAACCATAATGACATGCGGACGAGGCGTACAAAAGTAAATGCAAACCGTTTTGTTGTGCTATACGGCCACATGAATGTAATTCAAAGGGTCGGCAGGCTTACGTTCTCACACTGATTTTGGAATTTTAAAAAAAGGGATAATTCTTATAAGACATAAATATATCTTTGCTTCCCTCGGTTTATCTGTTGTTGTTATCGCTATTACTTCACGAATCAGAACTTTTCGTCGGTGCATTAATTGCCGACGCTGCTTTTGCTAATCTTTGGGTAGGTATTAAGTTGTAAGTCTGAGCTGAAATTTGAAAAATGGTATTCGCTGCCCCAGTTACGAGTCCAAACACTTAAGTAATGCATAAACAACATTTTCTAAGAACTTAAAGGGCATTACTGCAAGAAAATTTTGAAAAATATTTCTTGAGTTTTTACAAGATCGTGATACTAACAAAGGTTTTGAAGTTTTATACTTGTGCTTTCGATAACAGGAAATGATACTTCATCCCACGATGCAACGTAAATAAATTATATAAATCTAGAGTATATAGTGCTTGGCTCCTTTTTCATTGACTTAAAAAGACACTTTAACTGGGTTTGATTAATTATTAACATGATATCCTATTTATCGTGTAAACGTCGACTAATGAAGGGAATGAGCGGATTCTTGTTCAAAATAACTTATAATAGAATCTACCTATAACAATTCTTGATTTGACTACTGAAAGCAATTAAAGGCATACACACGTGTTATTATTAATTGCCGGTGGGTCGAAAAGCTTCTTTACTTATGCTATATGTTAAGTATTGAGGCGGTAACCCTACCATATTAAGATAATATGGGTATTCCTAAAAAAGGATGAGAACAATTTTAGTTCTTTCTGGTTAGTGCAGTGACGTTGTAAAGATTTCGCTATTTACTATGATATTTTTTATTAATTGAGAAAATTAAAAGAGAAAATTATCAAAGATTTTTATAAGAAATATTAAAGAAAGATTACGTCACATGTTGAATCTACCAATAAAATAATGAAATGTATAAGGACTTGTGAATTATTATGTGCCAAGGCAATTAAATTACAATGTTAAAAGCATAACTAAAATCACCTGAACTCTCTAAAAGGAAAACCTATGAACGAAAGCATCACTAACTGTAACAACTCATCAACATAAGTGTTAAACTTTAATTGAATGATTAACATCTTTTATCTAAAGCATTATTCGAATTTTGTTATATAAAATTGCACTAACTTCTTAACATTCGTTAAATATTAATTCGATTTGTTGAAAGAAATGTGTTATATACTTAAAATTATTTCATTTAATTGCATTCTTTTTAGTTAAAGCAATAAAAAGTATTTAAAAAAAACTCATTTAACAATCAAATTTTTTACATGTTAATACCGGTTTCAAGAAAATAGAGATCAATTCCTTAACATGGCTACGTTCGTTTAGATTCATGTAATATTTGAAGACATGCTCTGGAAATAAATAAAACAAAATTTGCAAAAACTTCATCAATTTCCTTTTTAATTGTCATTTACTTTGAAATCAAATTTCCGCAATCACTTGGTTGCAAGCATAGAATATATTAATTAATCTATTGCACCAATGAATGAAGTTAATTGACAACCGCTGGGGTAAGTTAATTGACGAACAGGTACTTTGTCCTAATGCTTTTCCATCCTTTGTCTCGCAGTCACTTGGCTCAACATACAGAATTTAATAGTTTCCCCAGTCGAGGTCCGAAAAGGTTAGGTTAGCTCCATTGTAGTCATCAACTGGGCTTACATCATTTTGTGCAATGCTAATTAAAATGTAACAATTTTTTTCTGCTTAGTTTTTAAGTGATTAGAAATAAAATAGATAATGAATTAAGCGGGCCGAGGGAATTTTCATAAAGGGTGCCTTCACGAAATATCACTTTTGATAAATCGATTTGTTCACCTACTGTATGCTATACTCCTACAATTTTTCGAAGCTATATGTTGGAAATAGCTGGCCAGCTTTCATTTTAACGATTTGATTAATTTGAAGACGGAAAAGGAGTTACGGAACGGACTGGACAAATGCTGCAAATTTGGTTATTAACGATGCCACCCTACTATCGCTGGGAATAATGCATTGTCGACACCATAGTACTGTCGCGTGCAGTTTCTGGTTGAACACCCTCTTAGAAGCAGGTTCAAGACGTTGCGGGGTATCCTGCAGAAGTACTTACTTCTTAAGACGAGATGTAATCGACGTATCTTAACTATCACCAACATTCTTATCCACAATCAATCTTGTAATCATAAAAGCAATGAATTTGTATAAGCCACGTTAAGTTGCAATTACGGTATAAACACTTCCTTAAATAGTTTTTCTAATTTGTAAACAATAAAGCATCTCATACTTTGTGATTGCCAACGAAAGGGTCACAAATATTAAAACATGTAATACGAAATATAATTAAGAAGAGAAAAGACATACACGAACATCAATTGATAGCCGATATATTATGGCGATATGCAAAATTCGTTTAAAACATTTTCTAATTTGGATGCCACTTACTTGACCATATGGACATCCTGTCGCTGACTTGACTGTATTTCGTATTGTGGCCCAACTGTACCCATTGCACTTTCTATAGCTGGTACAAAAGCTATGATAGTGTTTGAAACGTAACCATCTGCACTTATAGTATTATCTATACATTTTTAAACAAGAAAAATATAATAACATAATATAAATGATTCGATTTTTGCTGCTTTCAGCGCATATATATATATCTTTTGTCGCTCTGCCAATTTGCCATTAGTGTACAAACTATATGGTACATTAATCAATTTGGATGGTAATGTAGTTGTTAGATAATAAGAAAATCGCGTTTTTCGAGGCTTTTTCAAAACTTTCTGTTAATGAGCTTTGCAAGAGTGTTATAAGAAATGCAATGATAGGATTAATATGTACTCCTGAAATGATTAAGGATCATATTTTTTTTCAATTACTTACTCGGACGTTGGGTATAAAATTCACCGAAAGCATCGTCGCGTGAGCGATTAGAAGGGTAAACTCGTAATAATAAGGGTATGTCATGTATGCGATCAGCTAAACCTCGAATACTCAGATCACGAGGTGTCCATGGTGACAACATTAATACCGAATTCTGTTCATTAGTTAAAGCTAAGGTGATGCCGCCTAAGAATAAAAATGAAAAAAGTGCTAACAATTGTACTAACACAGAAAAGCCTTTTCTATCATTCTTTTACCAAGCTCACTGTCAGAGAATCTCAATAAAAATGTACCCATGGGTGATTGGCGTAAAATCTCGTCAGCTTTAAGCTTGCTTATAAAGCCCACTATTGAACCAGCCTTCCAAATGCTTTGACAATGCTCCTTAGTTAACTTCATAATAGCAAAAAACCATTCCCAGAATGTGAAAGATCGCTCCGGTAATTTTTCTTTACAAAATTGTGCCCATGTTACATATTCCTTGTGCTCTCCTCCCGCATTTTTTAACGGGAAAAGCTTTTCATCTGGGAAGTAAGATAAATTAAAAGAAAAATGGCCACTTATTTGCCGCAAAGTAAAGACTTACAAATAAAATTTAAATTATCATCAGTTAGAGGCCGACCGGTGATTGATTCAAATTTAGTATTTAAAGCCAACGCTATCTGAGACCAAACAACACGTTCAGGTACTTGAAAAGGTTCGCGCACGATATTGGAAAATGCATTATCCCAAGTAATAGTGGCCCAAGCTTGCGGTTCTTGAGTTCCGTGTACTGTTACGACCACCGGCAACGATAGGGTCCAAACCTGGAAACAAAATTTTCAAAACGTCATCTTCTATTACATTCAATCGTTCCTAATTACCTTTATTCTATAATCGTTAACTATTGCAGAAGTATGGAAGAGTAAGGTAAATTTTTCGTCCGTTACGCTTTCACTACCTTTTCTTTCAGGCCTCTTAATATCCCACAATTGAAGAGTTCTAAAAGTGCCGGAGAATATGCGTGTCTGATTATCATAATCCATGACGGTGGTATTATTCTCTAGATCGCCACTAGTAGAAAGGTTAGGGGCTGTTACTTCAGACATATTACGTTGCGCGGAATGCCGTTGAGCCTGGGACTCTTTAGAAAGAAAGCAACAACAAAATTGTAAATTTCAATTGTTGCACATCATAGGTATTTAATTTAGTCCTTCATTTTGCTACTCGGCCTAGGCCTTTTTGAAAAGAGCTATGTATTTATTAGCCTACTTAGTGTCGATGTGAATAATGTGCTCGCCTTCTACCCAAATCAGAGATTTTTAAAAGACCTTGAAACTTCGAGCTCTTAGAGAGTAGTGACTTCTCTTTTCCAGTTTCTTATTTCTCTTCTAGCTAATTGCTTTCCAACTAGTTTTGCTATTTCTTCGTCAGTTTGTCTATTTTCGATCTCTATTACTAACTATCCTCACTCTGTCCTCCTATCAACTGCAAATTTCCTGGCAAGCCTACATACTTTTTCGCCCACCCTGCTAATCAGCTTACGAACCAATCCTGCCTCTTTCAAGCCCGTCCTTCTCATTGATTGCAAGTGTAAAAATTTCTTGAGTGGTCTACAAATCTTCAACCAGCCAATTATATTCCGAGAAGTCTCTTTCCAGGCAGCTAATTTCATTTAATTTACCTGACATTATAATGCACTCTACAGAAGGTGAATTAGCACTAATACCCAGTTGAGGTCCAATCAGCCAACGCACGGCAGCCACAAATCTATTCAATATTTAATAATATGGAATAACAAGTTCTTAAAATATGCTTTAAGGAGACTCTATCATTTCATTTACTTACTTAGTCTTCTTTTTCATAACTTGCGGTGGCTGCTTTTCCACAATAAATGACGACAATATTAATAATTGCTGCGCATTTCGGGCATGGGCGGTCAATTCGCTTAAACCATTGTTAGTATCAAGTGGCATTGTTTGCAGCATATTGACAATGTCAAGAATTTTTCCAATCATTTCTATCAACAGTTCAATGCAACGCTGTATATCATCAAGATTATCTCGAAACATTGCTCCATTAGCGGCTAACGCCTGGTTGCGCTGCCAATTTCTCAGTTCAATAATTACCGTACTTTGCATTGAATCGTACTTTAGAATAATAGCGCGCAAGTCGTGTAACATGGTATTGCGTTTGCTACTCACTGACATGTACCGCTGTTGCATTTCCAAGTCGTCATTATGCGACCCTGTAAGGGCTGTGTGTTGATTGTGGGCGTTGTAAGCGACATGGAAAGCTTCATATTCGGTACGAAATTGCTGTAATTCGCCGAAAATTTTGTTAATACTCAAATTTAAATTTGATATTTCATCATGAATAGCGTATAACGTATCATCGCAATACGAAGCGCCATTACTTAATGATCGGGAGGTGGACAGGCTAGGCAAAATGGCGGTGGAAGCATTACTGCTACTGATACTAGCTTCACCACTGTTGTTATTGTGGCCGACACCATCCATGAGCAGGTACTGAGACATTTGTTTAAGAAATTCTAGTTCTTCCACGAATGTCTTTTATATGCGGGAAATAAAATTTCAATCCTGTTGGTTAGTTTTTAGAACAATTTTATTCCGTTGTGCTACCTAGCTGCAGAGCTCATCCGTCATATGTATTCTGTAACGCCTGCAATAAATAATGTAAAAGATTGAGAGTAAGTTTTGAAAGCTTTCCAACCAAATATAAAAAACCTGTGCTACCCTCTTTGCTAGTAAGAAGTTACTTTCCTACCCAGCGTAAAGTCATTCTGTTTACTACACGAGTGAAAAATTTATCTTGGAAAGAATCTCGGATGGCTCAGGCGAATATCGCACTAATGATTGGGTTATGCGGTATTAAGTATGGGTCACTTACAATTGCAATCCTACGGTGCAAGAAGCGGCATTCCTCCTTAGAATGCAATAACGTGAGAAGGGGAAATATACTAGAGGTCCAGGAAGGTCAGGCGTGTTGAATACTTGCTTTTAAGAAACTATCAGCAGATATTAATTTGCTAACGGTTTCGGGGTTGCATTTTAATAAATGAAGAGCCGGATTTACCTTTGTCTGATACATATATATATATATATATATCATTCATCATATATATATATATCATCATGCGATTTCGATTTTTAATCGAGTTGGCACTTTGCATGCATTCTTTGTACGCACAACAATATATATTATTTACATGATTCTAATGAACCTAAGATATCAATATGTACTATAAGTATAAATGACTGATTACTTGAAATATTCTTTTTGTTTGCTTGTTAGTAAGATCATAACCTCTGAAAATCTTTTATAGCAATAATGTTATTTTCAACTAATCCTTCCGCAGATTTATAATTGAATGAGACTTGGATTTATTCATTATTCGGGCGTCTCGTTCAAACTTTTTTATCAAAGGATAATAAAAAGGTTTCAATAGCTCATTATTTTTACTGAATCTTTCGCTGTTGTCGATGATGAATATTTATAAACCAATTTCGCAATCAAAACAAACGCTAAAGAGTTAAGAACAAAGTTGTAAGCCCTTACGTCAAATATTCAACATACATAGAATTAATAGTGCCACACCCCAGTGTCAACTGCTTTGACTAATATGCGGAAAAAATTTATAATAATGAAATTATATTTGATGTCATCCTATGATAAGGAATATTTAATCTTAAGTCTTTTCGTAAGCGCCGAGAATCCATTCGCTAAATAAAGCGAATTTAAACGTTTGTTCGATTTCAACTTAAACCGGTTCTCTTAGTTAATAAAACCAATTTTGTAGGAAATTCAAAGTAAAATCCAGCATAATAATTATATCACAATGTTTTAATCGATAACATTAAGATACAGTACTCTCCACGAATACGTCGTAACTGGAACGCAGGAAGACAACTGTCTGTGAATCGATAATATCAGATCAAAAGTTGGCCAACTAAGGTGCTCCTTCTCCGTACAAACTATTGAAGAGAGCTTCGAAAAACTAAAATGTTTTCAATTTTTTTGATACCTTAAAAAATTCTTAAAATTCGTGAAAGATTTTTTAGAAACTGAAACGAAAGCATATGTTGGAATCGAAATAGTACAAAATTTACGAGAAAATCCCTTTGCCTGTCTTGGGAACTTAATATGTTAAGTCGACCCTTTTTTTTTTTTTTAAGTGCAGATTAGAGGGCATCAGGAAGGTGAACCATGTCCGCCTTCATATTCATATCTTTTGCAGTAAACACAAAATAATTCACTCCGTAAATGATAAGTTCGAAACCTTTTTTAGACCCTACACCACTCACAGTATCCAAAAGGGCTTGACGTATACCCGAATTATATTCTACCGATTCAGAATCACGTATTGCAAGGACGTAAGCTTCCCTTTCTGTCTGCCTGTCTTGTTTTCTTGTGTTCTAGTTTTCTAATATCAATAGAAGAAAAATGTTTACTAACTAGTGATAGTTGCTTTTTGTAAGCGTAATACTAGAGACAACTAAATGACAAAATGATCTACCATCACTTGTCCACAAAAAATGTAGTCTCGCAAGAGGTAACTAAACGACAATGCAGTGCAACACCAACATGCTCTGCTGCATATACATTTGTGTCGAAGCCTTTTAAAAAGATGTGTCCTAATGAACACGAAAAACGCGTTCATATGACGGTGAAAAAATAAATTTACGAGTGTGAGCGAACGACCATCTTTACGATCATATTTGATATAAGTCAGAGGATCAACATAGATTAAAGGCTACGTTGCTGAATATCTTAATCTTCTCTTTATAATACATCTAACGGTAAATATGCCCCCAAAAAATTCGTGTGAAAAGAATTTTCACATGACGTTGAAGATAGGTGCTCGTCGTAGAAAGGGGAAATTTAAATTACTTTCATAAGATAACGTAAGTGACATGTTATTTACAACAGAGTGGGTGCGATTTGCAAAACTCAATCGAACGCTAACTAACATTAATGATTTCTTGATAAGCTAATAAACAGAACGAGAGAAACAAAGAGCATGAGAATTATTTACAATATCTACGATTCAAGACATGCTAAGTTTATCGTCATTCTATACGCATCGCCTGCTGCATCTGCATAGGATGTAAACCCGAATTTATTTGCTGCGAAAATGTGTCACAATTCAAAAATTGAGACAAGGATCTGAAATTTTTGTGTTCATTTCCCAATTCACGGCCGCGAGTCAATTTGGAAGAAGGCGTTACATCCTGGGTATTGCAGATAATTTCAAGTAATAAAAATTTCAAATCTTGAAAATTTCAAAATGTAGTTATCAGTAACTTATGCCTGCTCTCTGTCAGCTAGTGTTTAGAGTTTGAATGAAAAACTGTTCAAAAGTTTTTTTCAAAAATTTACTCCGACAATTAACAAGAATACTTTTCGATTCGATATCGGATATATATGTGATATATATTTTTTGTAATGATGGGTAGGTAGTCTATGTTCGCCTCACACCGAATGAAGATTTGTAACTTGTTATTGATAACAAGCGTACGACGGCATTACAGCTTAACAGGTTGTATACGTCATCAAGTGGAAGTGAAAGTTTTATTAGTTTATATTTGCAAACCCGAGACGTGCGTACATAGTGGATGATAAAACAATGCTAAATAACGAATTAATTAAATTTGTTTATTTATCCCTTCGTTAATAATGCATTTTCCGATGTTATGTAATAAAATTGCAATGAATGGGTTTTTTTACCGGTTCAATGGGGAGTTGTATGGAAAAACCTTTTAATTCAATTACTTTTAAATAAATCATAAGAAAGTGATAGGTGTAAAAACCTCCATGGGTTAATTTGTCTTGCTTGGGATTCGCTGACGTCTTTGTGTAACACACATACATACACTGCCATGGGCGTACCAATCCACGGCTTTTTTAACACTATGAAAACACAAAACCGATTGGGAGCAAAAACATGGAAAAATTAATGGACTAAAGATTCTACATAAACTACCGTTAGCCCTCCTCCCGCCGATAATCGAAAACCAAAATAAAGGAGGAAAGGTAAAGGGAAGCAGAGTTTATTTCTTAAGAGTTCTTTCTCCATTGATCTGCCAAAACTTTTACAGATCGAAGCAGTTCGAGAGAGTAACAGCTCAAATGTTTATCAATACAAATCCTCCCACAATCAAATCAAGCATAGCAGAAACTAAGCTGTAAGCTATAATTAAAGGATTCATCACTTCTTACTGAGTAAATGAAGTGTCGGTTAGAACAGAGTATCACGTTTTTCTTTCGCAAGCAAGGTTTTCCATTCGGAAACTAAGGGGAGGAGGCTTTTTCTCTCCTGTAATAATCTTACTACAAAGCAAAGAAGTATGAAAAAGAGAAGAGAGTCAGTTGCGTAGCTATTTTCTTCTCGAATATCGAAAAATGTTTATCATGATAGGTCTTATCGGAGACATTCCGCGGAAAGGGCTTAGACGAAGACTTCCCCAAAAAAATTGTTGCATTTTTATGATTTTTCGATAGAAATCACAAAACTTGTGTCTTTAAGATGTGAAATATAGTAAATTAAGATTGCCGAGCACAAAGATAACGTGCGGCGATTTCAATTTTGCGAACAGCCTTACGTATAAGAGGAGCATGTTTTTCATACCCCGGTCAAACTAGAAAGTGGTCGGTCCATGTATTTACAGTTCAGTAAGATTGATCTCAGAGAACCTTCAACACCTTATTTTAATCAATTATTGTTGTCCACTGATCCTCTGTAAACTTTGATTCCTTATTTATAGATATTTCTATGCCAGTCATCGACAACCAACTTAAGGTATAAGTTTCTGTTCAATGGTTTTGTGGGGAGTTGAATACTTTTTATGCGGCTTAAAAA